AACTACTAAGATGTTTATTGAGAGAAACGAGAGCTAAAAACTGTTGAGAATGAAATTGGATGATACAATTATTCAGAAGTAATAATGTAGAATGAGAGGAAAAGAACAACCAGAAACCACAGAAGAATCAATCAAAGAAGAGAATAGCAGAATGGTTGCTGTGCTTGAAAACCGTGGTTTAGTAAGTTCTTTTGGAAATCAGGTGACGCGTCTTTCCCGAAAAATCACAGCGTCTTACAAAGCCTACCCGCCTACCCCGATTCCTGTGAGTTAAAACATTCGTTCCAACTACCACCAATCTTTTTGAGGCTACCTGGTCTCGATAACGAGCTTGAAATAGGTCGATAGACCCAAAACCGCGTGACCTCCTCATTGGCCGTGCTCACTTTGACGCCGACACAGTAAGCTTCAATGAGCCCGCAAGTCGAATCTTGACCATTGATTTATCAGATGTGTAACACTACTGACGGCTTTGTGTCAAGCTAACTATATGTTATCAATCACCTGATCAGTACCAAACCGGCACATAGTTTTGCTTCGATAAGGTCATTGATAGGCTCTCAGGCGGCTTATTGTGAGCACGACTCAAATGGAACTGAACCTATTTCTTCCCTGATCGTAAGGAAAAGTTTAAGGTGAGGTAAATCATAAGAGAGTTTAGATTTTTGAACCCTCGAACGAGTTTTTGTTCCAGGCATGAAGAAAATGTCTGAAAATATGAAACCGGAAAATATAGTTTGTTCGAATCTCAAAACAAACTTGTTTTTTTTTCGTTTTCGATCATCTCTTGGCTTGTTAAAGAGATAATGAATCGTATGATTTCACCTCCGAGGTAGGTACATAGACTCGATTTTCGCCTCAAGGAGAACACCAAAAGTGAAACTATGAATTTTCTACGTAATTGATCGAACATGTGGTTTATACATAAAACCAAAACTAAAAAAAACTCAAGACCGAATCAATTGAATGAAGCCTCCACTTTTGAGTTGATAAATGAGAAATTGTAATGAAGACTAATTTTGATTTGTATTGGAGTGAAATCGATCGACTTATTAAGCTTTATTAAGTTGATAATTATAAGGATTAAGTTTGACTTGTATACTTCGATCCCACACCTTTGAATTCGGTGATCTTCAATTGATTTTTGAATGCTCTGTTTACGATTGTAAAAGGAAAATCGAAATGGATCACCTTTGAATCGAACTAAGTATGATAGGATGAAATACAATATACAAAGAAGGACAATCTTCTCTGAAGAGAAAAATCACCAGAATTGTAAGACGTATTACGCACAAGCTTCAACTTCAAAGTCACCTTCTTTGCTTCTCTTTTCTGGTTTTGAGTTCATCATATTTTGGACACCACCTTGTCTGGCTATTTTGATGCTCATAGAATCCTTCAAAACTTTATCATCCAGAGCCACCATCTTCCATTAATTTCTATTTTCCATAATTTCTAATTTCCATACACAGCTGAGATTTCACTTCTACATACATAATTCAATCCATCTGTTCTTCTCATCTTGTCCTATTAAAGTTGAAAATCCTGATTATCTGTTGTTATCTCACACCAGCACACTCAATCAACATAAGAAATAATTTAGGATGTACAATTCACGATATGTGAAATAATAACATCTGTTTAAATAGGTTTAAATTCAATCTCCTGGTACCAATGTTTCTTGAATTCAAGCCCACTACAGATCCGATTTGGAGGATCAGTGATTGTACAAGTTTTCTATCATCAAAATATACTGCCACTCAAGCCGAATTCAAGTTTGTACGACTCCACGAGCTTGTGTCAAGAGTTCACAGTTAAAGGAAGTCAAGTAAAAGTTACCAAGAAAGTTCAAACTTTCAATCTTCTTTACATATCACTAGATCATCAATTCCCTCTTCATTCTTCTTGACCTTTTTTTTCGCATTTGCAGATCACTCTTAGAAAGATAATGTGTCATGGGATTCAAACTTAAACAAATTTAAGCAACTCTTTGTAAAACTCTTGCTTTCACATTCTCATCTAAATTACTTATACACCTCATCTCATCATCATATCACATATTCCTCTTTCATTTTCACCCGCGTGTTATTATCTACTATTTTTGTTTTCTTCTTACCAAACTTCATCTGCAACCTTTATCCATCACTTCTTTCTCTTTTGCTCCTCTGACTCTCGATCACAAGAGTCTGGTGATATTATAAACCCTGCTTGATTCCTCAATTTTGATCATCAAAGAACCATTGACCAGCCTCCTTGTTTTGATTGGGCTATTTTTGTATATGTGCTTGTGAGACTTGGTGGGTTGTTGTTATTTTTTCTTCCCTTCTCCTTTTCAAGTTTGGATGTTCTTTTATGGGTTTGAAGCCAAAGCTGACCGCAACCCCCTGACATTTTCCCTCGCACTTTGCTTTATAACTTCACCGAACTCACCATCCCCCGTCCGGTACGTTCCATTTTGAATCCTTCTAACGTTTTTTTCCTATCTTCTCGTCTCTCTTGGCCCGCACTTACGCCGATCATCGTCTCACTCCTCCGCCTTTCATCCGACTTCTTCTCGATATGCCTCACCCCTTCCTCTTTTTCTCGATTTCCACCTCCAGATCAAATCTCCTTCAGATCTTTCGTCAGCCGCCACCAATAAGGTTTGTGACGCTTCCTCTCTCTCTCACTCTCCCCTCAGCCTCCTCCTTTGTAACAATCATCCAATTTTCCTAAATCCTTGTTGAAAACTCGGCGAACCACGTCTTCTTCACTGAACGTCTCCGTTGGTGTTGTTGATTTTTTTTCAAGGGGGGGAGGGGCAGATCTCTTTTTTTTTCTTGTCGCGAGCAACAATTGATTTCTTTTTTTTTGATCGGCTTGAAACCAATCACATACAGTGAGCTGTATTGTATGAATGATAAGGAAGCTTGAAAAAGACGGGCGAGACGGACACCAAGGATAAGATATTAAAATCAGCATCAGAAGCAGAATCAAACTCAAAACTTCAGCGTCAGAATCGCAAGGATGAGAGTTTGAAGAGAGACTTAGAATAACACCAATCACCCATCATCAATGAAACTGATTTATTGATTGATTGGATCATTACTTCAGTTGGATCCCAATTTTCCTTAAAAGGTAATCAACTCATCTCACTTTACATTTCTTTCTCCCCTTTTTTTGTATATCAATCTTTGCCCTTTTCTTTCTCTCTCTCTCTGTGTTTGCAAACCGTACATATAGCTTATAAGACCTCCACTTAAGACTACGAGTATCCCCACTAACTGACTCATCCGGCTTCTTTCCCTTCCATTCTCTAACCGCATCAATTTCCCTTCTTGATATTGAACATCAATTTTTGGAACTAAAGCACAGAAAAGGAAATCATCATCTTCCCTCTAACTTAGATCACCCTCGCATCGATCGGAGCAAGACCATCACATCTACCATCAATCAAGACCTATCAGAATTCAATTGATTTCATCACATCGGGTATTCATCTGTCTCCTATTCCAAACAGTGATCGACATCCGTTTTCCTTCCTTGGCTTTCCTTTTGGTTTTGTCTCCCTTTCTTTTTTTGCTGTCACTCTGCATCACTTCGAAGGCTGTGGTAGAGCGGCTAGAATTTAGAATCGAAAGAATCAATATTTCTTTCAGTAGTGGTGAGCCATAAAAAATACAAGGAATTAAAATTGATCATCACTTTAAACGCACACTTGACAATCACTCCATTCAGCTCCTCTTACACATTTGAACAATTATTATTCTGTAATCTCAATCACCGACGATCTCCACATCTCTTGACGACGGTCTTTTTTTTTTCTTATCCCTTGTCTTCTAACAATCTCTTGTCATCCAAGGGGGGAGAGACTCTGGAGGAAATCAGTCAATCAAAAAAAGCATACACACACATCCACACCCATCCATACACCCATTAACCAAACTGCATCAATTAGACGTGTCTCTGTCGATTTTCACCCTCTTATCCCCATCTCCCTGGGCTGGGCTGATTAGGATTTCTTTTTTAGGCTAACAGCTAACAAATACCACTCTACCGCCCAACTCACATCCTCTCCACCCCACTCATCATCCTCATCCTCATCCGCTATTCTCTGCACGCTATCCTTTTCTGTCATGCTCCTCATCTCATCGAATCGGACCCTGTCCCCTCGCCCGTATACCACCGATCCGCTTCACAATTATCCTGTTCAAGACGCCGCTGCCGCTGTCGGCCCCTGGCTTTATTCGTCCTTAACCTCAGTGGCCCCTCCCTTTAGTTCTACATACAGCTTTGGAGCTGAAGATCTCTCGCCGCAAGCATCTTCTTCTTCTACTTCATCATCCCCACCGGCCATTTTCCCAGGGCTTTCTTCCTCCTCTTACTCGATCACCCCTCAACTACCTGCTGCCGAATTCGGTGGGGTCATGCATCCCAATTCTGACGAAGACTCGAGCGCGGACGAGGACGCGTTCCCTACCGAACCCCAGCAGCAGCAGCAGCAGCATCCACATCATTTTTTGCCTCATCCCGCCGCAAGCTCATCTCTCAAACGTGCTTCTCCCCGTCAAATTTACGACTTGCATTCTGGCGCTGGCGGCTTAACCAACTCGTATTCATCAGTGGGCCGCACTCTCCAACATGCGGGCTCGGGCACTTCGAACTTCAACCACGACAGTCCTCAGGCGTCTTATTTAGAGGACGTCCGCAAGCTTACTGATCCTCCTACCCATACGCAAACCCACGCTGACGCCCATTCCGATCAGTATCACCACTTGCTTTCTTCCGGTCCACCCACAGCTGTGGCTCCCAATAGTCTTCATACTCCACCCACGACCACTAATCATTCCGCGAGTGGGTACGAGAAATCCTTCGAATCTCCGTCGATCCCATCTAATGAGACCTACAAATTTCAACCCATGCCGGAGGCTCCGGATCTCTCTCATACTTCTACTAGCTCACCTCATGATCTTGATCCGGCTGTCCTTGAAGCCGTCCGGAGTTATATTGAGATTAAGAATTGGGAAGAAGAGAAGAGTCTTTATTTTCAAATCGATGCCGGTGGTTTTTGTATTGGTCGCGTAAAAGGTGAGCAAGATATTCGACTGGTTAATTGTCTTATTCACCCAAGACAATCATGCGTCACCTTTCCAGGCTTCTGCTCCATTACCCGCATATGGTGCCTCTCCCCTTTACCCCTCATGATCTATTGTCCCTCCATCTTGTCTTCCTCCGTTGCTGTTCCCGATTACTGTTCTTTTGTTGTCAACGGCCAGAGGGTCAAGTTGCTTTGAGGAATAAGTTTTGATTGATGTGGTATTTACTTGGATATTTTCAGAAACGAATATGGTCAACGGCACCAAGTTACTCAATTTGACCGGCATAAGTCGTGGGAAACGCGATGGGATCTTGAAGAACGAGAAACAGAGGCAGGTTATCAAGCATGGGACGATGCATTTGAAAGGTGTATGGTGAGTTTCGAGTTTTTGTTTGAAACAGCATCATTCAATGTTCATCACTGATACACCATTGCCTGCCTTTTTATAGGATCCCTTACGAGCGTGCTGTCACCTTGTCGGAGCAATACGGGATCGCCGATCGAATCTACCCATTACTGATACCAAACCTGGCTCAGTATGTCCATGTTATCCAACCTGCAGTCTCTGGTGCCAAACTGGGGCCAGGAACCGCCCTCCACCACGCTCCCAAATATCCCAATGTCGGTCTCTCCTTCATGACCCGAGGTAATTATATCGATCAACAATCGCCGGCTTGGTCGGGATCTGGTCATGCTATGGCTTTTGCTGAGCCGTACTCAGCTCCACCCCAGCCCAGGAGCGGAGGGTCGGGATACGAGCAAGCACAAATTAATTATTTGAACTCGAGTTCATCCAGCAGCGTGAGTCGACCAGCTAGAAGGTGAAAGCATTTCGCGGATACTGACGCATAGCCATCTTGACACACCTCAGGATCTATCGGAACGTCGTCACACGATTCCCAATTCTTACAATCCATATCAAGCTCTACCCTCCTTCCAAGGCCAATCGATTGCTTACCCCTCATCATCCTCTTTTCCCTCCGGCCAATATCCGTCTTTTTCACAAGCAGCTCGACCACAGCCTCCGCCAGCACCGCCTTCGTCTAATAGTCCCCATCAATTTCCCTACAATGTTCCCGCCAGTCAGCCGTCATCTGCCTCCGGTCCTTCGTACCCATATCCGCCTCCACTCAATCCTAACACGGGCACGGTGTATAGTCTAGCTTCAGGCCCATCTACTTCCTCATCCAGCACCCATCAAACATCCTCGCCTGCACTTTACGCAGCACCCGTGCCAGCTTCTCCTTCACTACATTCTCAAAATCCTACAGATACTTCTGGTGCTTTTGGCAACTATGCACGAGGACAGGTGAATCATCTGAAAAGGGAGGCAGAGGATGAGCTCCAGAACTTGTCAGGTGAATCTCGTAATTGTCGACGTGTACAGCCACGAGTTTCATCGGATTGCAGTCCACATAGTAAGTGGATTGATCTTCACTTCACAAGCACGGGCCCAATTGTATAGTGCTGATACGTGTGGTTCCCCCCCAGCCGGTTTCAGGCATTCTTTGACGCCGGTGCCGGTGCGATACCCCGAGTGGACAGGGGCGCCCGCACAGCAGATTGCCCTCAACACCACGGACCCTATTAATTCACCACCGCATCCTAACGCGAGCCTCAATCAGAATCAAGAACTACCCACATCTGTCTCCGGCGCGCTCCCAAATGCTAGTAGTCATGCTGGATTGATAGTCAAGGAGGAAGATTCATCTGATCTAGTCCCTCACTCTCTGGGCCCTGGTACCTCGTCTGGCTCGAACCCCACGGCCTTCGGATCCGGCATGGGATCCTCACGGCCAACGTCCAATAATCCTAAGTGGATCTGAAACAAGCCTTCTTTATCTCCTTTTCCTTGTCGGGCATCCTAGTTTTGTTTTTGCTTGTTCTTTTCAATTTTGGACGCATTTCAAACAGCTTCTTGATTGTCGATCTTTATTTATTCTTGATTCATCGAATTTCGTACTTATCTGTCGTACTTTTTATGGGTTGTATAGCCTTCTTTCTTTCTTCCTTTACCCTTTGGGTGCATCTCATCTCTCGGTTTTCATTTCAAGCTCGATCAGTGTGGATCCTGGAGAGTGCTGGACTGATAGACGATTCCCTTATTTCCACTGTTACTTTTATCTTCCTATAACCTTACTCCGTCTGTCATTCTGTCTGTTTCCCTGAATTATAATTCGTAATCTATCCCCTCATCTGAATAACATGTTCTTCACATAAACCCAAAAACATCCTTAAACATTTCTCAGTTTCTGCTTCCTTATAACACAGTTTGTTCCTTTCTCTAGGCTTCCTTCTCTTTCTATGTAATGGTCTATGACCCTTTGTGTGTATGTATTTTGTCTCTCTATCAACAATCTTTATAATTTCTCATCAAGTAGTTTTTTCAGTAATACTTTTCGGTTTTCCTTTTGATCTGCGTGTGAATAATCATCATCTGTGGATGCCTATCTGTGTGTTTATGTGTTTTCAACTTAATAATCTTTGATGTTGTGTGATTTTTTTTCTCCTTTGGAATATGTTGGGATCATGTATGGGTTGATTTGTTGGAATCTTTCAAATTTGATTCCTTAACACTCATCCCTTCTTTATTCCTGATCGATTTTGTGAGGTTGTAATAGTGAGAATGTAGAGTGAGAATGTTCAGTTCTTCATTGATTTGATAGATGCTTCTTTTACTTAATCTTTTGCTTTTGCTTAGTAATCAATAACTTGTTCATCTTAAAAAAATGAACTGGATCCTCCAGTTTATTATATGTTGAGTGAACAATTTGTTTATTTAACTTATTCTTATTCAAGTGTTCTACATGCCTCTTTCTTCTCTTCAATGTAAGAACAGGGATTGCAAAGATTAAAACTCTACACAATTCTTTGTGAATCTTGAAGGTTCATGTAGAAGACTCCAAAGACTTGGCAAGTCAAAAATCACAGCGGAAGAAACATGACAGCTTTCTGCTGTATGATAGGAAAATATGGGATGAAGGCGACATTTGGTGCCATTCCAAGACTTGACACACAAGGCACAACATAACAAATTGCATTGTGTTTCAACTTTGGTGTAACCTCAAAAAAGTTGCAATCCTCAAATGTAGTGGGACATTGCAGACACTCTGCAACAAAACCAACAAGATCCAGGGAGCATTACATCTTTTGATTATCTTGCTTATGTTTCTTTTGCCATCTTAATCCTGAATGATTTATGACAGGCATCAAAGCATCCCTAGCCATGTGGTGTAGACCATGTTGTACACCAATTCAGGGGAAAAGGATCCACAGCTGAGACCTAAATCTTCATTCAACTAGGGATTTTCATCTGTGCAAGCCAAAGTAGAACAAATTTGTCCTATCTTGGATTCTTCCATCAACTCATCTGTAGCTTGCTTCCACCTTAATTTTGATCAATACAACCAAATCCTGCACCAAACAAACACTACACAAAGTCATTCAATTTATGTCAGAATGTGCTTAACAGTCACACTGTAGGTCATTATGACTGTGGATCAATCAATTTTGATACCTCAAACACTTCTCTAACTCTCCATGTGACTCATCTGTAGGGCACAAATTTTGGGCATGGCTGGGGATACTCTTACCACCACAAGTTTTAACTTGAAATCATCATGGTTAAACTCTTCTCAGGTACAGTCAAGCACAAAAAACCAAATTACTGTTTTTCAAGGACTCTGAGGTCTTCAAGGGACTGTACAAGAAATACAACAAAATGTACATGATGGGTATTTGACCTGCAATACAACAAAAAGCATACTTTTTTGGTGTATTTTGTTGTGCTTGTGTGTTGGTGTGACTGCATGGAACTTTGAAATATCTACAACCCAATTTTATTTTTGTTTCTTCTAATTATCTTTTGGGCTGGACATGTGTTATTGAGCAAATTACCTTAGCTTCCTTATTCTCTCTTCTGATCTATTTTTCATAGTTAATTTTCCTTATGATGTGTTTCATCTATTCTCTGACATCATATTCATCATAGTTGATTTCTTTTATGATGTGTTTCATTTACTCTCTGAAATCATACACTTTTGTATCCTTCTTCAATCTATGATCTTGTACCTTGGTTTTACACAAGCTCTTGGTTATATAAGAATGAATGTTGCCTAACTTTGTTGTTCCTTTTCTCATTCATTCTCACATTTGTTTTGTTTATCATTAGGTACATCTGATTTTTCATCACACTTGTGTTCTCCTACATACTGCTGAGAACTCTCTGTGTTCTTCTCAAGGTACCTTACTTTCATCACACTTGTGATTCTTCTGTTACCTTACTAAGAATCCCTTTGTGTTCTTTCAAGTATGAATGCTTACAAGTGTGGCATAGCTTCCTTTTGCTGAGCTGCTATAATTTCAAAATGGTTTTCTTTGGCTACAGCTCATCTACTACTCAGCTAGAAAACAATATGAGAATTGTGGCATGTAGTTTTATACTTATGGTATACAAATATCACCTTTCTGGAAATTTCCAGAATGTCGGAAGTGCAAATTTGGACTTTCACCTGTAAGCTGAAATTAGCCCCACACTGCTTCTTGCACACTCTGCTGTACAGTAAGGAACTTATGACAATGAAGCATGCTAACAGATTTTATCACCAAAATCCAATTCCCCTCACAGGCAAAAGTGTGCTTTGTTGTCAAAAGTCCTTTGCTACACATTGGAGTGTGTGCCAAGCAACACACATGTAGTCAAGTTTATTTTACCTGCCAAAACTTGCCTTTCTGGCATTTTGGTAGTCTCTAGAAATTCATGGAACCCATATCTGTATGAAATAACTACCCACTGTGCTACTAACCAAGATCAGCAAAACAGTGTAAAGTTGTGTAACAGTCCCTTTTTTGCCTTGGGTGCTCCAATCAAGCGTTCCCAATAGACATACTACTTACCTTTGCCAACCACAAGAATGCCCAAGAAGGACAAAAGTGCATGCATGCAGGACACTTGCATCTTCAAGCTTACCTTTGCCAAAGGACACCTTGTCATACATAAATTTTGACCTCCGCACGTCTTGTGTAGCTTCCAAACTACACAAGATCAAGGAGTATAGAATTGGACGTCTGCTAACTCACCAAGAAAGCTTAAGAGTACCCTGCATATGAGATCTAGACTTGGTTCAGTTAGCTATCAAGGTAGCTGACGTTCAATCTAAGTAAGTTGTTGTCTTATCCTAAGAAACTTACCAACTAGAAAATTGCTAGTGTTGATTTCTTGAGTCTTCCTCCTATCAACTTCTTCAATAACTTGATATTGACTTTGTGGACACATCATGGGTGTGAAATCAAAACAAACTTCACTAACATCAGACACACTATCACATTGATTAAATTTATCTTGTGCCAGACTCTGACTTGCCATATATCATTATCAGTTTGTGCTTGATTCTTTCAAAGATCAATTTTCTTTCCTATATTATTCATTGTGCTTATGGATCATCATCATGGACATTGCAGCTTGATTTGACTAATGTGGTACTTTGTTTGCATTCTATAGATCAGATTTACTACTGGGGATTTTGTCATGAGCAATAGCCTTCCCTCATTGACTGACAAGGTAAGCTTTGTAAGATCAGAGATAATTGCTTTGTGGTGCGCAATCTTGCCTGAATCTGTACAGGTTTCTTGATCATCAATCTTGAGATAAGATGATTGTGTTACTTTCAAGAGACCTTCCTCAGTCTCCACTTGCATTTGTTCTTTGAGATAAAGTCACTTGCAATGTCCTGGTCCAAACTTCTAGGTCCTTTCAATCAGGATTGCTAGAATTGCCTGTCTAGCTTGGTGGCCAGTGAAGATTGACGATTCAAAACCCCTATTTGCTGCTCATGACTTGCTTTCACATAATTTGAAAAAATAGTACAATCTTGAGATCCGCAAGAGTAAAGTGACTGGAAAAGAATACTTGATATATTGTTGTCTTTCACTCATCATCTTGAGCATCTGGAGATGTCAAGTCCTTTCTCGTCGTTTGATCTTCCTAAAATTCTGTACAACATTGTGACCTAATGTGCTAACGATTGTAGTAGCTTATCATACATTTAAATCTGGACCCTGATAGTCTGACCGCGTAAAACCAGGTCGCCAGATATTTTGGTGTGATCCTGTTCAATTTATCAAAAACTGAAGAAAGATTCATCACGTTGTTTTTGAGGGTAACTCAACCCCTGTAAGTTTGGTTTGGTTCCCCTCCTCATCTGGATCATGTGCGCATCCACAGTCATAATTTTCGGCCAGACTTGTACAGTTGTATTCCGGTTTACCCAGTCTCTCGTTGACTAAGTTATGAAGCGAGCATAGATGAAGTGATGCTGCGTTCCTAGATGAGGTCTGATGAGACAATGCATTATACGTCAGTGCAGGAGAATCAAGGTAGAACGACTAGGTAGCGGGTGATACAACGTACTTGTGGGGGATACTGTTTTAATAGAAGTTGGAAGTGATGAGCGCATTCACCACATGGATACAGCCTTGAATCAAAAGAGGAAAAACAAAGTATGAGCCTAAACAAACTTGTTGCGATTTCTGTTATCTGGGCGTCGAGATGAAATTCCGGCTCACCGCGAGAATAGGTAAATAAACGACTTCAAAGCTGCTCGCTCATCGGGAGTAGGATGTTCGGGGAATCTTAGCAACAAAAACAGATAGATTAGTTAATCAACTACAAATTTTACCCGAATTTGAGCTTTCAACGAAAATACCTTTGAGTCATCGTATGCATGAACTGCGCTTCATTCAAATTGAAAAAAGGGGCGAGGTTAAATGAGAAGGGATTGAATGATAGGGATAGACAAGAGATTCGCATACCTTCCAGGTTGCTCTTCCTAATTCAGCTCTATAAAAATCAAAGTTCGAGTGACTTATAAGCTGAATGTATAACAGAATTGCAAGTTTAAGTGAGAAGATATGAGTTCAGCCAACATACTTGGCAGTTGCATTGCCCATCTTAGGCATGATTGATTTGCCTTTCAAAACATCTTGATCAGGTATAAATTCAGACAAGTTTTGATTGGAGACTTCATCAGAATTATGAATGTGAAATTTAGGTATGCTGAGTTCAGGTGAACGACTGTAGGAGACTTTTCGAGGTTGATTTCCAAATGACCTGAGAGTGAGATAAGTTGAGATAATGAACAGTAAGCTGATTAAGAGGAATATGGGTTTCGGTATAGGTGAACGCGAGTTTGATCGGTCGAGTGATAGGTTATGAATTGATTTGAGGGCAGATCGAGGACCAGCGTTTTGTGACATGATGGAGACTTGTTTGAAGTTGAGGTTGATTGAAGTTGAGTTGAGGTTGAGGTTGAGGAAATGAGATTGAGATTGAAGAAAATGTAAACTAGATTGCAAATGAACTTGCAAGGGTATACATATGTAGTTTCAAATAATGTAATTCCCTGATAATGCAGTTTGAATTTTAAATGATGCTGTTTGAAATGAGACAGCTAAAAGTCGAGATGACTTGTCACATGTCTGACTGTCACAGGGGCTGTAGCCTGTAACATGTGACGAGGAAATACAACCGGTCATCGGTTCAAAGATGTTTAAATGAATTCAACTTCAACACATTGAACCTCATTGAACCTCTCAACGATCGAAGTCATCATCAACATTATCAACACTTCACCATTTCTACCAATCTCAATCGATTTGGAATCAGAACCCAAATCAATCTAGTAAACAAGCAATCTTTATTTTTCCATCATGAAGGTACTTTCAATTCAAATTCTAGTCATTGAGCAGCCCAACAAACCACCAGGTTTGTCATTCTTTCGTCAAGGTTCCGATGCACATTGGTCAATCATACTAACTTGACATCTCCTCATCACAGCTGTTCCAGTCGCTCAGGCCTCTGATCTTTCCTCTTTCAGCTTTTTACAACGGGGAAGGTGAATCCAATCTATCTACCTTTCATTTCCATTGTACTGATCTTTCAATCTGAACCTCTCATCTGGCTCCTTTGAATTCAAGCATTGGCGAATTTCTCAATTTTCTTTCCAAGACCGTTGCCGAACGTACATCATCTGGTCAACGTCAATCAGTTCAAGAAAACAACTATACTGCACATGCTTATCTCCGTCCGGTCGACAATCTGATTGCGGTAATCATCACCGATGATGAATATCCCATTCGAGCCGCATTCTCCTTACTCAACAAGCTCCTTGACGAATTTACTACCAAGTTCACTCAATCTCAATGGAAAGCTGCCTTAGCAAACCCAACAGGTGGTGTTGCAGCATCTGGGATCAAATTTCCAACTATAGATGAATATTTGGTCAAATACCAAGATCCTAAGCAGGCTGATACAATCATGAAGGTTCAACAAGAACTTGACGAAACCAAAATCATTCTGGTATACAGCATTTCTCGCCTCTTGTCCTTTTTTTCGGATCATTATCATAATGAATTACACTTGGGGTACTGATGCTACATTTTCCGGTTTTACTTCTTCAGCACAAAACAATAGAATCTGTATTAGAACGAGGAGAAAGTTTGGATCGATTGGTAGATCGATCAAACGCACTTAGTAGTCAATCCAAGATGTTTTACAAGACTGCCAAGAAACAAAACGTCAGTCAAAGATACTTTTTACACTTCATTTACCTTTGAAACTGTGACACTGATAATTTTGATATTCCTGTGATTGTCTTAGTCTTGTTGTATAATATCTTGATCTGCTCAACAGTGTGGATATGTGGTCTTTGGAATCAAGTGATGTGCCATTCTGTGTGAATTAGGCGTTTTCAGTCTTAAGTTCATCATCAGCTTTTTGTGTTTATATTGCCTACCTACTCTGTTTTGACACATGTACATTCAAAGCCATTTGGTTTTCTTCTTCATGTTTTTGTGCTCTTATCTTTTTGATCATCGTTCCTCTTTGAGGACTCCTCAGTCAAGTTGTCCCATTGTCTGCAAAACTATCAGAGTAGATGATTTCATCAGGACACCTGAAATTTTTCATCCTGCGAGATCACTATCCAACCCATCCAAAGCCTAGAATTTCAACTATTCAGCATGGAGCGCTGGGAACAAAATTTGCCTTGTATGTGGTATCTTGCGAAGAAGCTAGCCTCTTGCTCTACAGAGTCTCAATGTGCCCTTTAACTTAAGCAAGTGCCTCGTGCATAGGATCAACATGGCATGCGATGCCCCCTCGTGCATGTATCACTCAACCCCAGTTCAAACCATGGGACAATAGGTAATTTATTGTCACTTGTGCATCCATACCATGATCCTAGTCATTTATTTTCAAGACCCTCAAGAAGACTTCCTTTTGATCATGGTGTCTTCAATATATACTGTTCTATTTTTCTTCAATTGAAATTTGTAGATCGATAAGATTAGATCCACATTCAACATTGTCGCACACATCAGAAGAAGGATTGAGGATTTCAATCATTTTGCTATGATTGTTTCTTAGTTTTTTGTAGTTTTGGTTTCTTCAATTCTCTAACGCGAAAGAGATGATATCTTTTTCTTTCTTCGTATTCCTTCAAACCATAGTTGAAAGGGTTGTACTTAAACTAAACCATTTGATGAAATCGGTATTCGAACGTGGAGATGAAGAAGTTGACTTGCAATCGGAAACGCAGGAAATAGAATGTAAGGATTGGAAATACCTACTTTATCTAGGTGATTGATGTTATATCCTGGAAACACAATTGTCGATACTATCCATTCCAAAGTTGTATTCAAGGATCAATTTGTGATTTGATCATACTTGTAATACTACTAATAATTTAAAATAAGATGAACAACAAAACACCTATAAATATATAAAAAATGAGTGGAAAATAAAAAATGAAAGCTAACAGTAAAGACAGGGTTTGAAGATCAAAAGAGTAAGAGCAAAAACATGTAATATTACAAATTTTGAACCAATCAAAATGTAACTTGCATTTCTTTGCAAATCATTTTTTGATGACTTTGTATGTAAAAAGATGTCGAAGGAAAAAAAACGTTTGAGCAAAAATAAAGTTATAAATCAATATCACGTGCAAGGATCAAAAAGTAAATGATGAAAATCATCATTTTAAAAGAGAATAAGGAAATCCGAGTTGGATTAACTTTTCTAAATCTTTTATCTGGTGTGGAGTAAGTCGAAGTGATAAAGCTTTAATGTTCGAATGTAAGTCACCGATCTGACTTGGACAAATGATAGGAATAACTAAATACAGAAAACATTACCTCTCATCAGAATGTCATCTTTTGGGGGCGGAAAGCTTACAGGGACTTACTACATGAATTTTTCTGAATTATATAGATCAAGGCAACTGCTTTCGCACTTACTGCTCCTAATTCCTTACAGATCTTCAATAGACTTGGTGAGTCTTTTAGACCAGGTCCTGATGAATTATGGCTATCACTTTGACTTGATTGTGACTTTTCAGCTGTGTCCAGTCGCTTTACTACATCTGTGTTGAACTGGATCCGACCGTCATCGACCGTTCCCCATGGACAGAAAGCCATTCCTTGTAATACGCAGAGTGCTATACACGAAAAGTAAGTTCTTCTGATTGATTTAACAACTCCGATTCTAAGCCATAGTAGTGGGCGCTCTTACGTAGAATTTCACGATCAAAATTGCTGGTATTCCACGCGCCTTGATACACTGAGAACGGAGTAATTCCAACATTGCGTGCGTCTTAAACCCCGTCAGGAAAGAAGACACAAGACCACAGATCAGACATCAATTCAGCTTCAAGTTTGTGAGATAAGTGCATTAATTTCAACTCTCAGCTTACAATGATTTGCCTTGTACACGATCCAAGGTGGAGTCTCTGACACGCCCAAAGCGCGCACCTAAAGTATCAAAATCCAATAACCAAAATTAGACTTTCAAACTTGATTTCCTCGAAAAACTTATTCTCATCACACCAAGCAAGTTAACAAAGTGACTCGCCTTGCCCTTCTTCACCAACAAATCTAGTGCTTCCATCATCTCTTCAATTACTCCAGTCCAATCCCACCAATGCAAATAAAGGATATCGATATGATCCGTTCCAAGCTTTTCTAAAGAATCGCTAATTGACACATCAAGAGGTTTTGTCGCAGTTTTACCATGCTATGATTGAAACCTCAAAATTGTCAGATTTCAGTCAATATTGGCGAGCATAAAAGATACCTTACATCAACTTGAAAAGCGCCCGAGGGCCGATCACCCTTGTAACCGGCTGTATACTTCACGGTAATAACGACCTTTTCCCGATTTTCTACGTATGTTAAAACCAATCAATAGTTTGAACTTGAAGACATCCACATGATGAATGCATAGAAGTGCTTACTGCGCGCCTTCATCCATTCACCGATCCATAGCTCACTCTCATCCTGTTGATACGTATCTGCCTGTGAAGTGAGAGATCTATTGATTAATATCCAGTTATTTCAAAGTAGCCAGGCGAAGCTCACAGCATCTATAAAGTTTCCACCCAGCCGAACGAATTCGTCTAATAACGCAAAAGCTGATTGTTTCTCCATCTTCACCATATCGCCAGTACCATAAATGGATCCACTTGACATCGCGCCTAGACATAGCGGAGATACTTGTTTGGCAGAGTGGGGACTGAAGACCTTATGAGCGGCGAGGTCGAAGACTGGAGCACGGTTTCTTTTAAGCCAGGCCATGAGATTGGGATGATAATGTAATGATGGGTATGAGAATTGAAAAAAGAGAGTAAAGATGGGATTTTGAGTAATTTAAAAACCTATGGATCACAAAGAAGACGATATGAGAAATGAATTTCTTAAGTGTAGATAAAAAGGCGAAAGTTTCTTCGATTTGAGTATGAAATCGTGATTCGAGTTTTCAAAGAACGTAAGACCACGATTATGAAGTGAGAGCTCAACTTCATTTACTTGAAGTTTGAGAATGGATTGAGCGGTTAAAACGAAATGTGTAAATTGATCATATTTGGGTTCATGCTTTCTTTTTAAAGCACTTTGAAGTCAAGGCGGCTTAATCGTCTAGAGTGCTAGCGATCACCTTATGGCGTCCAACATACACATGACCATAAGATTACACCCAATTCTTCTCCAGCTCAGGTTCTGCGCACCAACCATTTGTTAGTGCATCTCCACCCGGACGTGCACATAAGACCGGATTGGTATGACTTGCAATTTGATTTTGACAGCAAATAAGGCTATATTTGTGCAATTAATGTGAAAACGAATAACCCATAGCAAATTTCCGAGCAAAGTTTCCGGGCAAATTCCCCCCAGGCCACTTTCTCAGACTTGCATAGACCATAAACCATTATTAGTGTCACATACCTCAAAAGAGGATATGTACGCAGCTCCTATTTTCTATTTCTTTGCCTCTATTGCTTTTTACCGCCTGAAGTTATTCTACCAGCGTGATCTGCCAGAACTATTGCCAATCTCTGTACTCGCACACAGAGCTTGGAATTTGAATTTTGATATTCGCGTCCGAAATTCCAAATTCCGAATTTTGTTTCAACCATCCGAATTTTGAATTGGATTCACCGTCCGTGAAACTCGTGTTACCCGGGGACCGAAGGTCCCTTCAGTCCGGATCGCCAATGCCCGACTAATCCGCCAATTCGCGTGAAGGCATCCGGTGCCAAGCGACGTAGCGCACCTGCAGCGTTCGAATTTACTCCGCAATCATCACATATTTTTAAGTTGCCGACATTCATTATACATAGTTAAAATTCCGTACAAACATGCTTCAACCGCCGCAGTTCACAATCGCAACCTCGGCGCTTATTGCTGCAATGCTTCATCGACGCACTATGGACGCCCAGGGCAATGTGATCTCAACCCAATTGGAAGCGTATCACTCCTCCAAGACCGGAATACCTGAGTTGTAGTCGTCCGGCATTGCTCTCCCGCTGTTCCGACGCACCGTTGCACGGAACAGCGGTGATCCGTGCCGACGCGCATATTTACGATTTGTAGCAGCCGGATGCACAACATCCTATGCTTAAAGTACCCTTGACCGCGAGGACGTGTGCAATCAAAAGCAAATTGCGCGCTTGAATTGATATTCCGCGTAACGTCGTCTATCACAATACCCCAAGTGAATATTTCGCACACATTGCCACCGTCCGCAAGGAATTGAAACACCGTATTTCCGGCAAGCAAGCGAAGCGCTTGAGGATTGAATAACTTCTGCTTCCCAGTGGCACCCAGAGATTTGCTTACCGTAGCACAAGTTCGTGATTTGTCGCACTTTGCCGCTAATGTCTTCATTGCGCTGCTCGAAACCGCGCCAAACGGAATCAGCTCACCCTGACGGCGATTACCGTTATTCAATGGACAATCCTCCTCCTCCCGAAGAAACTGAGGGAAAGGAGCGCACCACCCGCAAAGATTTCCCCCTCATCGCCAACGTCCACGACTGGCTTCCATTTCCTCTGGTTGCTCTTGCACCCCCTACCGCTGGTTTCGACTTCAACCCGTCTTCCAATCGCTTTGTTCGCGATACCACTCGGACCCCCCCTCACTTCCCCAAGCCCGTCTTTAGATGTACCTTACCACGACAGGCCGGCATCGCCGACCACGTAGTCTTTGCCATGACTTCCTCCTCACCGTGGACTTATCAAGGTCAACGCCCCAATGGTTTTTCACATACACCTAGCGGAACGCTTGAAGCCTTACACGGTGCCCACCATTCCAAACCCGGACCCAAGCGTAGACACGAATGGACTCACACATACCTTTGTTCATCCTCCGGTCACCCGTCCAAACAGATCAAACCAACCAAGACTGATGCCACACGACGTTCATCCGGCAGCAATCGCGTTGGCTGCACCGCCAAGTTTTACATCCGCAAGACACTCGACGGGTATCTGGAGTTTGAATGGTTTTGGATCCATAAGAATCATAATCCTTTCTCGCTCAAAGACATGCGCAACAAACGGTTACCGGATGTCGTTGACAAATGGCTTACCGACAAGGTTGTCAGCGGTCTCCCTTGGGCAACCATCAAAATCCTCAACCGCGTTCCTGATCTTTTTCCTGTAAGTCCAACAGAGCCAAATACACACTTCTCCCAACTAACCCAACCCGTTATTTCGCTAGGAGGAGAATGGCCAACTTACCGCCGTTCCCGAAGCATTTAACATCAAATACCAAACCGTCGCAAACCAAATCCGGAAACAAGCAAAGAAAATTACCATGTTAGCCGACTGCCCCCTCGCTTCAGTCGAGGCTTGGATCCGTCGTCTTCAGGAAAGGGGCTGGCACACCTACAAGGACATTCGACGTACCCACAATCGATTCCACGTCGGGTTTTTCTCACCTTGGCAACGCAAGCAGATGATGCTCCACGGCGCCGATGTCGTCTGCTTTGATGCCACCCATAACATTTGTCAGCCTATCGAGTTGCCCGGCTGGAAGAAACTAGTCTTTACCCTCATCACGATAGTGATACGAAACCCAGTCACCGGGAGCGGAACACCCGTAGCCTGGTTCATCACCTCCGACGAAATGGCGTAAGTGGTCGCACCCTGCTCTCAGACGCTCACAATTCACTGACAAACTCCCATTAGGCCCACTATTACGCGGTTCTTCACTTGGCTGAAAGAACACTTCGCGTTCGAACCAAAAGCCTTCATGACTGATTGCGCTAAGGCCTATAAGAAGGGTATCCGCGACACTTATTCCGAGCTTTGCAACCCACCAAAGCACTACTACTGTCTTTTCCATGTATCCCGAGCTATACGGGCCAAAGCCTTCAAACTGGTAAGCGAAACAACATCGTACCACGGAAGAACTGTTACTTACCTATCCTTCCAGTTACCCGAAGACCCAGCACGCCGCATGCATCTCGAAGCCATGGAAGTCATTCACTCCCCCCGCTGGCAAGATCGATGGCAGGCATTCAAACGCGACTACGACGTCATTTGCCCCACCTTCGTCACGTACTTCCAAGATCAGTGGATATCGCAGTCCGAGTACTGCATGTTGTCAGAGCGCCTTGTACCCATGCAAGGCATCCACACCAACAATTATAATGAATCACACCACCGAGTCCTTAAACTCCACTTCCTTAGCCGCACCACCGTCGCACGAATCGATGGTGTCATTCATATCTTCGTTGAAGACATCGAACCGGAGTATCGGCAACTCCACCTCACCACTACACTCGGCTTCCGCCAGCAACGTACCTCTAAGTTTCAGAATGTCGCGAAGGGTCTCGCCGAGACCTACACCGACGTCGAAATCGCCGAACTCGGTGTCATCGTAGCCCAAGACTCACCTACGCATGTAAGCAAATCATAATCACTCTCCTTCAGCCCAAACTGACCCTTCAACCCAGTTTACCATGGGCAGTTTCACCAGACCACGCACGGTCACTTACCACATCACCGTAACACCGGCCCAAGGCGCTCATAAAGCCGCCGTCAACAACTGCACGTGCCCGTATTACAACCAACACAAATCCTCTTGCAAGCATATGTATGTACTTGCTCGTCAGAAGAAGTTCACTATATGTGAGACCGCACTCGCAATCGTTGACGACGGAGTTTCTCCATTCCTTCCTCAGAAGATTACTACCCCCATCAAATCCATCGTACACGTCGAGAGCGAAGACTCTAGTTCGGAATCTACTTCACATTCCACTTCGTCCCACTCGCTGTCATCCCATCATCCCCTTACCCCTGAAATGAATTCGCACCACCACCTCTCCGGCATGGGCCGTACTCCCTCCATGAATGGCGTACCACCTTCGCAAGCTCGGTATGCGTACTCGCCACCAGCACCGTATCCAACTCAACGGCCAAACTCGAACGCCGGTGCAATTGAAGGCCCATTTCCACCTGCTGGTGGCGAAACGTTATCTGACCGACACCTTTCTCAACACATGGTACCACAGCACCACCGCCGAGAATCCGATTCATACGTCATGCACATGTTTCATGACCCAAACACTGTACACTCGACACCTCCTCTAGGTTACCTACACGGTCCCATCCCACTCCCATTACCGCTTCCTACGCCACAACATGGGCAATTGCCGCCACCCAGTCACCGCAAATACGGCGTCGATCACCGTGATCAGTCACCACAAGGCAACAGCTCAGCACCTTCCACTCAGTACACCACTCATTTGCGAACATTTACTGAGCCCAGCCGCAACACTACGTTCGACACGTCTACTTTTCTGTACCCACCGGGCAACTTCTCAGCCATCCCAACTGCTCGCAATTCACCCATTCCTCCCCAACTTAATGACGCTTCAGTATCACCGGGATCTTATTTGATGACCCCGGATTATCCCAACCCTCCACCACCCACCCAGTATCAATTCGAAGCTCCGGCTCCTGCTTTGATCGATGAGCGCTTATTCCGCATCGTCGAACAACAGCCGGGCAGACTTCAAGGTACCCCATGTGTCCCCAGCCTATACCTCTCACCAACACCGGTGAATGTTTCCCAACTATCCGGCATCTTCGATGAGATGGACCACGACGCCGACCGATCCAACCAGACCCAGCTGAACGACGCTATGCCACCACCACCTTGCGATACCGCCCCCGCCTTCTTAACCTCACGCAATTGCGAGTTTGGGTGAGTCCTTGTATTTAATGTACACTAGCGCAGTGCTAATATCGACGAACAAACCCATCCAGGCAACCCGCCACCAACCGTGTCATTCCACCCCACAATCCGGCTAGCATCGCAACACCCGACGCCCCAAGACAAGGCACCAATCCCCCTATTGCTCAATCGTCTAACCAATCGAACTTAAGAGACGAACGCAAAGCACTCAAAAAACTGGCTTTGGAAGACCTTCAGAAATACGCTCGTCTCACTACCGCATTACCAGCTAAGTACCCCAAATCTGACCTCATAACTCATGGCACCATCAAAAGCATCGAGCGCGCTGCTCACGCTGTGCGGGAAGGTTATTACGAAGCACTCCGCCTCTACTCGAATTCTCAGCCCTCCAAACA